CTAATATGACCAATATGATTGCACTTCAAGGATTTTACCTTCTTTGTTGGAGTTGTGCATATTGCTATTCAAATCTGTTGTATCTTTTTGAAATATCAGAGATTCTCATTTTATAACAAAGGAAAACCACAAATAGCTGAATTCCTTGTAAGCACCGCACATCATTTGTAGCCATCAGGTTCCAATGGTTCAATCTTTTCCTTGACTTCAATTACCTTGTCACTAGGAATAGTGCCAACTATTCTGATGAAACATATTTCTTTTGGCATTTTTCTGCTACCATGCATTTTACTTTTGTGCGTTTACTTCTTGTAGTGCATGACTGTCAATTGGTGGATGATATTCCAGTGGAGAAACTATTGGTCCATGATGTTCCTGTGGACATCATTTGTACTCCCACTCAAGTCATTTTCACAAACACAGCAATCCCAAAGCCTCAAGGTTTGTCAAGTTCATAAAGTTAGATTTTAAGTCTTCCACATTTTCAATTCCTTATGTGAAGTCTGGAGCATATCACCTTCAAATAATTTTGGTTGGCACAAAATTCTTTGCATTACATAAGTGGCTCTCCTGTGGATTGCTGCACCTATGCATGCCTCCCTAAGCGAAAGACTGGTTGTTTTTTTCCTAGATACCATGCTTCCAACACCCTTACCTCTTAAGTGGGTTATGCAATTGGTACCATCACACTAGTGACTTACGGAATTAACTTTTTTAATTGTAATTTTTGAATTAAATGGGATGTCAGTTTGCATTGCTTTAGTTCTTCTATATTTTGGTCCAAAACAAAAATATAAATAACTAGTTTTTAATTGTCAACACCATGGCAGAAGAAACTTGAATTAAGCATGTAACTGTGTTTCACTTGCAGGAATCTACTGGGACAAATTGTCTCCTGAGAAGCTGGGACAGATTCAGATACTGAGAGAGCTCAAGAGCAGGATTGAGCGGGAGACGGGACAGAAGCTTCCCTGTGGTCCATCAGAGAAATTACCCCCAACAGCTAGACGTAGGCGTTAACTTATCATACTCCTTTTTTTTTTGGCTATGCCAAGGTAACTTTGTTAATATCTTAACACCATCCCTTGTGTATCAGAAAAAGAAAAGCAGAAGATCAATACAAAAAAACTGAGGTCTCAAGTACATTGTTGTATGGTGTTTGTGGCTTACCCCTGGCCTTCCATCCAGAAGTATTTCTGATGGTGTATTATTAGTCCTTTGTTATTTGAGTGAAACATGCAATGTAGTCCTTCAGCCCTCTACTTTGGAAACTAACGTAATATATATATATATGGGGAACGCTTTTGGTAAGATCTTTTTGTATAATTTTTTTATACAACTTGATATATAATTAAAATGATTGGTTCATTTAATTCATGTGAGACTTGTGATATTAAATATATCTACTCATTTAATGACATGTGAAAGTTATATAAAAAAGTAAAATAAAAAGATTGTCTTTATAACATCATCCAATATATATATGTATATATATATTTTTTTATCTTAATTATACAATTAAAAATAATTATATTTCATTTCTTATCTCATCTTATTTGTTATTTTATCTCCACATATTATATAATTTAAACTTAAAATTTTTTACTTTTAAGTAAAGAGAGATTAACAGCACTAATATTTTTTAAGTAACCGTTCTCACCATGTACTTTGGCCA